TCAACAGCTGCTGAACACCATCTCTGTATCCTCTAAAGATGGAACATTCAGTTTGCTCAGTTCTGCTTCCAAGTCAGGAAAATGTTTAAAAATAAAAGCATCTGTTGGCTCAGTGAGTGGCCAGGCTTGGACTGCCCTTGTCCAACTCCATAAATTCAAAGTCATGGGAAACTTTTCACTTATCACATCTAGAATATTATTGCTTTTCTCTGTGGTGGTACCTTGGAAGTCTCTCAAGAAGTAAAAAAAAATTTTAAAAAGTCAAACTCAAACCTGAAGAACCAAAAGGAATAATTTTATACTCTGCAGCAGCTTTATAATTTCTGGCGTTCCAAATTTCTATGTTCGATACTATTATCATATACAAATCTATAAATAATTGATGCCTCCTAATGGGATCTTCTATTATCCAACATTAGCCTACTTTTAATTTTTTCCCCCTTTTTTTCAGTAGGAAATACACTGCATCTTTCTAAAGCAATCACATTGGATCTAGAGGTAATGTTAGATTTTAGAATTATGCACTAATACTTTAGAAATGAGGACCTCTTACTGTCACTAATTTAAAGACATTTATTAGCTGTAGAACAGAACACAACGACAGTAACCAACCTATCCTTGCTCTGTTACCTACACACAGAGCTGGGCTTTTTCCCTGTTTTGTTTGTGGCAGCACAGGAATGATGCAAATCCTCTGTACCAGAGCTCCAGCATCAGCACCACCTCACCCATCCCCTTCACCTCAGTGTTTACACCAAGAACACAACACCCCCGGTGTGTTTTGGCAGGAGGGGAAGGGCTCACTTTTACCTCTCCCTCACAGAAATGGGTCTCACAATGCCCCAGCACCAACTCTGCTGCACACCTGACAGACCTGCACCTCTCCCTCCTGAGAGGGATTGCCTCCATCCAACAGGCTGCACACCCTGGGAACATCTGCTCAGGTCACTACTCACAGGCAGCAGTCTTAGTAAAGCAAACTTTGAATTATTCCTCCTTGCCTTTTGATCATTAACTATTTATAAATGTTATCAGGAACAACTTCAGAGGAAGGATCATTGACGAGGTGGCTGGAAGGGCAAAAATGCCAGCCAGAGCTTCTCACGAGTTTGTTTCATTTCCAGCCTGACAGTTTAGGCTTAATGTCTTAAGAAACAGATGTGGATTTTGAAAAGAGCTGCTCTGTGATTTTACTGATGTTCTCCTCAAAACCAGGAAAATTATTCTGACACACACAGTTAAAGCCAGTCATATACTCCTGCAGTTATAGACACATATGATATTGCAACACAAAGGCAGAAGAATGTGGTTGTTTATTCACATTCCAGAGGCAAAACAGCTCTGCTCTTTCTTAAAGATAAATAAATAAGCAAACAAACCCCATGCCACCACCAACAATGGATGTTTGTTTCCTGCCTTGTGAATACAGCAGCACAGGGACATTGCTCTTCCTCCTATCTACAGGTCACGTTTGCCTCTTCTGTAAAAGATAATTGTGGGAATTATAATTTCACCTTCCTAAAAGTGGAAGCTCAGTAAAGAGCATTCAGATGCTGTTCACTCCTAAACAAAGGCTCTCTGTAACACAGCCATTAAGGTTATTATCAAATGCAGGACAGACTGACAATGCCCCACTGAACTGGGCTACAGTTTACAGGAAATGTCTTTAATTGAAGCCTTTTTGATTCTCTAGCAAATCTCTAATGTATTTTTTACTAGCAGATCTAGTGAAACCAGAATCATTTAATCAGAAGATATGCAGCACATCTCACAAGGATGCACAAGTACTTGTCCATTTAAGATATTGATAATCCAAGATATCCAAGATAAAATATTAATGCCTTCAATACCAGAGTAAGAAATTTCTGAAATTAAGAGACTGAGAAAGGCTTGTAGCCAGCCAGGAGAGCAGAATGCTTTCACACTGAACTGAGCTGTGAGTTCCTTTTCACAATTTAAATTCTCAATGCTCAGAACCTGCTCAAGGCCAAGGAAGTTCAAGACTCAGAATTTCATAGCAAACAAACAACTTTTGATGGACATACTCCCAATATAAGCAGACAAAAGGTACTGAGAGAGAGATACAGCAATTTAAAACAAGAGGGAAGAAACTCACACCCCTCCCTTCATGCTACTTGATCTTTGGTCTTGAAATACTTTAAATATTTTAAATTCTAAACATACAGACTGATCCATCCTGTGTGACAGACCCTAGTCTCAAGCCCCTATTCATTTGCAAGGAACAGATGCTGTATGTTTCCCAGAGATTCCAGAATTAAGAGAAGATAGTATCTCAGAGACAAAGCAATAGGAAAGTCCGAGGGCTCTTAATGCTTTGTCTCTGCATGCAAAGCCAGCTTAGAAAAATAAATTACAAAACCCCAAATCCATTGCACATATCTGTATGACATTTGTCTGGCATTACAACAAGCTTAGACCCCAGACTGCAGAAGGGAAAATAAAATCTTGCCCTATTGATGATTCCCATCTGCTGAATGAATTATTGTTTTAAGCATAAAGCAAATTGTCAGTAAAAACAGCAAGCACCGATAATGGCCTCAAATATCTGAATTTTTTAGTCTTTTCAGGAAGTATTTTTCCTTTATTCAGCTCAAAAGACCTCATACTTCCTTTCACCAGCTTAAAAGCACATTCCCTCTTTTTGTGCCTTTCTTTCTTTGTGCTTTCCAGCAGCAAGAGAAGCCATTTAGACCTAATAAGCCACAAATAACAGCATATGAGAAACTGCAACAACGTGGGCGTAACTCCACAAAACCGGCAGGAGCATAAATCAAATGGGGTTAAAAATTGCTTCATTATCTAAATATATGCTTCAGTACCTAGGATGTTACCTAAGCTCTTTGTTTTCAAGAGGAAAACAAAAAAAAATACAGCAGGTCAGAACAGATCTGATGACCATTCAGATTAGATTTTGAAGAGAAACAAAAGGATTTATTAAAAGCTTGCTTGGACCAAATTTGGCGTGGACCAAATTCATTCAGTTAGAAGTAGACTCATCTTCCTCCACAGTAGGCACCTTCCTTCCTGGATTTGACAGTATCTAGCTGTGGTTTGTAACTGCTCACATAATCTTTACTATCTCTCAACATCTGAGGCACAGAAATAATTCAGATCAGTGCAGAAGCAGTTCCCTTATTTGGAAATATCAGTGAAATCCCACGCTGTGTGAAGGTTCATGTACTTACAGCACGATACTAAAGATAAAAGGAAATCTGTAATACTCTGAGAACCCACAAACAACTCTGCTATCATACATAGACTGTGTCATGGAAAAAAGTGTCTGTGCATCCCACTGACCTCCCCAAAGCCTCCCCAGCCTTCTGGCAAGTATGAAAGGCAGCAATTCAAGCAAATAGTGGGCAGCAATCACAAGTCACCCCAGGTGCTGCAGCACATCTGAGCTCAGGGGCAAGGGACCAGCCAGCCAAGGTGTGGGCTAGCACAGAAACAGCGTCCAACCGCATTAATATTTTTCTCTTTCAGTTTTATTTCTCTTTTAATACTTAGGTTTCAGTTCTTGGAGCAAGTTGGTGAAAGGAGAGCAAGGCAGGCCCATGGCAGGTAGCTGGCCAGGGAAGCCCTGTGCAACCGGCCTCACCCAGGACGGGCTGTCCATCAACAGTTACTGGCCTGGCACGGGCACAATGAGGAACCCAAGCCCACAGATGCTTATCCAAGAACCACGATTGCAGTTACCCGATCAACCTCCCAGTGAACATGAGCAGCATCTTAAAGCTGAATGAAGGCTGATTTTCAAGCTAAAAAAGCATTGATTTAGATTGGATACTAGGAAGTAATTCTTCCCTGTGAGGGTGCTGAGGCCCTGTCAGAGAAAAGCTGCGGCTGTCCCGTCCCTGGATGCACACAAGCCCAAGTTGGACAGGGCTTGGAGGAACCTGGTCTAATGCAAGGTATCCCTGCCCATGGCAGAGAGCTGGAACGAGATGAGCTTTAAGGCGCTTCCAACCCAGAGCATTCTGCGATTCCATGATACTCAATGCGTCCTCGAAGGCAGCAGAACAAGGAGCTCCATGGCCCCGCGG